GTCTCAATAATAATGTTTAACTATCGTTTACTTTCTTCTACTTACTACTTTACTTTGTTAACTTTCTTTTTTAACATAAAATCTGTTCAAATGTGAACCCTCGACACTTTATCAAGTAAAAACATTAAATTGTTAGTCCAATGGAAAACGGTATATACCAAAACTGATATCGCCACCCAGACAAATCTTAATAATGTATCCCTAATTTTATTTCTTATTTACTTTTGTTCACCAACCAACTTTCAATATAAAAAATCTATTCAATTCAATCAAATTCAATATTGCATTGGGTTGTCTTACTACGATACCCTTGCAATCACAACAGTTATTACTTACTTCAAAATAATTTTGGCTCAAGTAATAACAAAACTACAGCACGGACGTAGTCACGCAACTTTACTGATTAATCGATTTTCTAACATTAGTTTCCAACACTTGTCTACAAATATGGTTTACCGGGTCTTCAAGAGCCATGTTCAAGAGTAAAAAGTCTTTAACACCCATTTCTACTCATTTTAATCAGCAATGCCTTTTGCCACAGACGCAGGTCTTCCCACAAGGCCGATGCCAATGATGGGTGTTGTTATGGGTGTTGTTCGCCATCTGTGTACTGTTCAAGCATATGGCCGGCTGTTCGAGTTGTAGTCATAAGCTCCGCCCTTAGTGATGCTATCCTGCTTATTGCAACTGCAGGTAGGGTGAAGGAGGGGTTGTCCATAGCCTGAAAAAGTACAGACAATTAACGCTATTTTATTTATATCAAAATATGCATTAATTAATATTCAATTATCCCTTGAAATTATGCCTACCCTTTGTGTTGATCTTCTCCGTAAAGCTTCAATTCGGCCCCCCTGACGACACCCCTGGCACCGAGGCCTCTCATCAGGCATAGTCTCATTATATGTAAGGCTCTGAAAACATAAATAAGTATAATTAGAAACAGATCTGTAAAAGTAATTCACCTATATACCTTTGTAATATATGAAAATTCCTTATTATTTGTAAAGCTAGAATAAATATTCCTACACTAAAATGAATATACTTACTACAGGTTGTATACGTCTGGAAGGCAGTGTTGATTCAGAGGACATCACTCTCTGCATCGCAGCATCAGCCAGAGCATCTAACCTCCTACCTCAGGAGTGTACCTGTGAACCTCCATTACACAGTGTAGATGGAATGTATCACAACGATATCATTATCGAAGATAACGCTATCAGCGATTGACCTCCGCTATTGCACGCTAGTTGCTACACACTAACGTTGTGTGTTAACTCCAGCTATAAGGATAGCATCTCACTGTCTTTCGGTCATAAATTAAAATCCTCTTTGGTTTAAGGGTTGTTTATAATCATCTGTTATATTATTTATTTCCTTTTCTTGATGTTTACAATTACCGTTGTTATTTCGTTGCTAAAGTAGTAACCAAAAGGCTCATTTTAAATTGTTTTACACTCCATTTTTTTATTTTTCACGTAATTAGATTTTTGTTGACAGTTTTAACTGCATGAAACACGTGTATATGACAGAATAAACTATTTACACCTTTTGAAGGAAATCGTCAAAGCCGTTTTCTTGAACTTTGTGCAAAACATGCGTACAAGCAAACATTGCTCATATAAGACTATAGGATATGGTTAAGAAGTTATTTACAGACTTATGCATATCATTTACATTTAAAAGCTATATTTTGGTTTTAGAATTAAAATTAACGCAGTTGAGTTGAGCAAACGTCAAAATGTGCTGATGTTATTTATTAATTTATGTAGAATATTCTCATTTTTATCCAGCTAAGCTGAAAAACAACATCTTTTTACGTAGTATAGCGTCTTATAAGTATTGGAACCAAATTTATGTATCGAAGGATAAAATACAAACTAGCCATTAGTACACTATGTCAGAGGCTCATTTAACCATTTTAGAATTATTATATGAAAAGATGTTTTATTGTCCATAGCCGTACTGTAATTTTATGTCTACTGTAGTACCAAAAAGTCAATTAATGTTAAGTGTATCATCATGAGCATTACTAGATGTGTTTCAACAAATCTCAACAACAAATCAAAAAACTATTTGATGACAAGTTTGCAATTTTTTACCTAAGGTAGACTTAGATGTTCAGGAAACAAGTAACAAAGACGTCAACTAAACATTCGTATTTAATGATAGTAAAATTGTTAAGCAAGTTTTTTACATTGCATAAACAGTTTCCTATGTATAAATTCTTATTCTGGTCACCTAAGAAAACACTAAACACATGTATGAAGGATACAGCTTTCCGAATCTTGACTAAATTATGAACTGTATAAGAGAGAGTTATAAGCTGTATTGAGTCGTAGATCTGTAAATATTATTGAAAATTAGATCTTGACTTAGAAAACACTATTTAATATTGTTACAAACTTACAACCAGGCTTGGGCTTGTGTGAATGTCGGTTGCCGCCAACGTAGGAGAGTAACGGTCAATTCCCGCTAATTTTCGCCTTTATTGCCCCCTTCTGTCGCTCGTAAAATGTAATAGTAAAGTAACAATAAGGGATGATTAAAACGTTTTGGTCAATAACGAGCTGTAATTGCATTGGCTATAACAGCTAAACCCCAACATGAAGTATGCCCATTGTTTGGTCGAAGGGTGGGGGTGTGAAATAAGGGATTGTTAAGATATATACTTATCAGTTTTTAAGTATAAAACTAATACTTGACATAAAATGCGAAAGAACATTTTAAATCAGAATATATAATGACAATTTATGGAATGTAAATGTTTAAAAAAATTGTATCAGTAAAGAACAGACGTTATGATTTTGAACGAGTTGGGGGTGGTCATAATTATTTCACAAGACATCTGGGTAACCTTGCAATTGGCCACCATAGTCTGAAACTCAGAAACTTAATAAGTTAACTTACCTTGGAAAGGTTAGAATTATAAGTTAATTTAAAACCCCTTATGCGTAAAATAATTTTACTCTATGAATGAATCGGAGCGAAGTCGTTCTCTTTCTCTAAATTACACTACAAAATTGTAATCTTAAAAAATAAACAAATCAAAAGAATGGCATAATGGCATCACATAAGGCTCATGTTAAATTTCCAAAGTTTGTACTTATATCATGGGGAAAGTAGATTTTTCCTGGCTAAACCACTGGTCTAGAACTTAATTTTGGCACAGAACTTAGTTATTCCGTAAGTATAAACGTATTTATGTGTGCTAATTCCGAGATCAAAGTAACAAATATTTAAACTTTACTCATATTATATATAGGACTAGCTGGCCCGACAGACTTCGTCCTGTCCTAACGTGGTTTTATGTCAAATGCTCGTTCATTTTCAAGATGAGCTCGTTCGCATCGCTCAATCACGTCCTGGTTAAAGTTAGTTTGCTACGCTTACTCACCTTTAGGTTGGAGCTCGTTCGCTGCGCTCACTTGCCTTTAGGTTTAGCTCGTTCGCTACGATAACTCGCCTCCAGTTGAAGTTCGTTCGCTACGCTCACTCACCTTATAGTTGCAAATTAGCTGTTGTCATAAATTTAAAAGATAATAGTGCTGCGCCCTGCTGGTAAACCTATTAACTTTTTATTGCTATTGAACACCACAGAATCAAATTGTTTAGTTGAACCAGCTGTTAAGATTCTTTAATTCCATTAAAATATGAGTACTCATAAGGTTAACATGAGAAACTCCAGAGCCCCTGGGGCGGAGCCCTTTTGACGGATCTGCACCAAACTTCACATAAACCATCCTTGAATAATACTTAATAATGCATGAAAGTTTGAAAGTTTCATTCAAGTTTCATGTTTCATTACAATCTGTCGAGCGGTTTCGGAGTCCATAAAAGACAAACAAACAAACATACATTGAATTTTATACACAGGGTTAGTAAACAGTGTGGAGACCCCCTGTTATTTTTTTAACGGCCCATACTAGAAAAACTAAACTCGGCACATCTTTATGGCATGTTATGAAGTACTTTTTGGTCATAACCGCCACTTGGTGTACATCCCCAAAATGGGGGATTTTGGGAGAAACTCAAACATTTCAAATACAAAGACCCATCAAGTAAAGACCCCTCATTTTGAAGGTCCTGGTAAAAGAAAACGAACAACGCAAACTAGAGGTCTCTATCTCAATCCAGTGAAAAATGGCAGCCACTTGAAATTCTCAGAAGTTAAATTTAACTTGCAGCTTTCCAAGTCTGGGGACCCACTGTAAATTTTGTAACGGCTCACAATAGGAAAACTAAACTCTACTCACCTTTTTGGCATGTTATGAAGTACCTTTTAAGCCTAATAGCCACTTGGTTCCCAAACCCAAAATGAAAAAATTTTAAATGATAAGCCCCATCGAGTGAACCCTCATTTTTAAGGTCCTAGTAAAATAAAACTAACGACGCAAACTATAGGTTTCTATCTCAATCCAGTAAAAAAATGGAAGCTGATTGAAATCATTCGAAATCAGTAATAACTTGCAATTTTATATTCAATTGGCTGCCATATTTTATTGTGTTAAGATAGAGACCTCTAGTTTGCATTGTTGGTTTTCTTTTACCAGGACCTTCAAAATGAGGGGTCACTAGATGGGTCTTACCATTTTAACTTTTTGAGTTTCTCCTAAAATCCCCCATTTTGGGGATATACACCAAGTGGCGGTGATGCCCAAAAAGTACTTCATAACATGCTATAAAGTTGTGCCGTGTTTAGATGTTCTAGTATGGGCCGTTAAAAATTAACAGGGGGGTCTATAGACTTTTTACTAACCTTGCATATAGGATGTAAGATTACGTCGTTACAACTTATAAATAATTTTGTGAAAATTGCACTTGTGTTCTATTTTAAGTTTCGGAAAAAAATCTTGACATTTAACTATTCCTATTCGTGTCATTACAGTAGAACCTCATGTTCACTCCCTTGCACAGCCTAGGCCATGGCATAAGGCGGCCTAGTGGATAATCTGGCCTGTCATATATCCCAGGGATGAAATATAAAGTGATAAGAAAATACATTGCGATCAAAAAAGGTTTATTGCGACCTTGGGCATCCAGTTTCTTCACTGATTGGCTGGAGTGTAGGCGTCTCCTCTGAGCGTGTAGAGCTGGGAGTTCTTAACAAAGTCCAAGCCGTTTACTGTACGGTATTTCACTATGATTGTATCAGATGATCCTGCAACACGTTGGTGTACTCCTATTATAGCCTCATCTGCCTTCTCCTTTGTTCCGCAGCCATCAACATCATACCATTCGACGAAAACGTCTTTTTTCTCTCCATTTACTTCAGTAGCATATGTCAGTTTTGCCATATATCTAACCATAAAGTCATTACCAAAACCCCCGGACCTAGTTCGAGTCCATGTCTCCTCGACGCAGGTCAATTCAACGTTGTCCGCCAATGTTATCAATGCGTGTGGCTCAAAGTTGTGCCCTTTTGTGTCCGCCTTATATTCAGCACCCATAAGCTTGTTTACTAAAATATAAAAACAGACAAAATTAGTTTTATTTCTTTGAAAGGTTACTTATTCTTAATATAGTATTGTTGCACTGAAGTTGTAAAAAATATGTATGAACAGTATATTTGAAAAAATACATTAGCTACAGATCTGTTGTAATTATTAATACGGAGTAAAACGAAGTTATTTTTCGAGAATATAAAATACTTAAGTGTTTTAATTAACCCAAAGACTTAACAAATGAAAGCAGGAACTAGTGGACATAGGCAGTGCTACCTGTCCCTCTGCTAATTTGATGTACATTTTATAAGAAGTTATTGTTTTTTATGGAACAATCATTGAAGAAAATGTGTACTGTATTTTTAAAGGGGGGAATTTTACTTCCACCAGGACAGGCTCCACAATGTTACAATGTTTTACAACAACACAAACTGTTTTGGTTGTATAACACAAAAAAAACTATTTCACTATAAAATACTCTTATCTTAAAATTTTACTATTATTTACTCATTTATTTATTTTTTATAGCTTGTTCATAATGTAAACAAATTAATATGATTTAGTATTTGAAGTTTAAGGTTGGAACTTTTAGGCCGGCTTCTTGATCCATTATTTTGGATTGACTTTTTCTTTGTAAAATGACAGCTCTTAACCCGTTATGGTTCATTACTGGTGTTAAAGAAATTTATACACTGATCTTTTTTAAATCAAACATATTTTTGATTCTCTAGTTCCCTCGTATGTACTAAATTGTAACTTTAATAATATATGAAAGTGCAGGTGGCATCGTAGAAGTCTTACAACAACAATATCAAATTATAATATGTTCTTTAGTACGAATTATTACTACACCAATCTTATAATTAAAAAAATTGGGGTTTCTTTTCCGAGTTCATTGGTTTTTCTACCCGACCGATTTTCATGATTGAGGTATCAAATTGAAGGTATGCACGCACAGATTTGCCATCAAGCATCGGCATATAATTATCTATAGTATTACTCGGTTTATACGTAAACGAAGTTTGCTCCCCATGAATTTCTTATGGGAGTTAAATTTGGTTTTTCTTTGCCGAGTTCGTTGGACTCTTCTACCCGGCCGATTTTCATGATTGAGGTCTCGAATTGAAGGTATGCACGCACAGATTTGCCATAAAGCATTGGTATATATTTATATATTATCGCACTCGGTGTATACACAAACGAAATTCGCTTCCCATGTATTTCTTATGTAAGTTAAATTTGGCTTTTCTTTGCCGAGTTCGTTTGCCTCTTCTGCCCGACCGATTGTCATGATTGAGGTCTCAAATTGAAGGTATGCACGCACAGATTTGCCATAAAGCATCGGTATATATTTATCTATTATCGCACTCGATGTATACACAAACGAAATTCGCTTCCTATGTATTTCTTATGGAAGCTAAATTTGGTTTTTATTTGCCGAGTTCGTTTGGCTCTTCTATCCGACCGATTTTCATGATTGGGGTCTCGAATTGAAGGTATGCACGCACAAATTTGCCATCAATCATCTACAAATATTTTACCTACATAGTTACACGACCAGAACACATAATTTGATTTATTTATCGTTCTTACTTCAATTTAAGATGTACCTTTACCAGTTATAAATGTATAATCCTATATATTTTAGTTTTTCTTTTAAGCTATTAGCTATTCAAATCGGACGAGTTTCAAGCAAACGCAAGGTGAATAACCAATATAAAAATTATTTTTCATAAGGTTTTAATATGGTTAAAAATCAATAGCTCCAGTATTGTTCATGTTTTTCTATATGTTTTGGACACAAAATAATCAGTAAATTATAGGCTTTAATTTGAGATAGTAATCGTTTGAATCAGTTAAGCTCAAGATACTGTATTACTCAATCAAAAATTTTAAATTTGATTATTTCTCGGATATAATAATTATTTTAACGCTGCGGAGCAGCATGGGTCCTCTAGTATAAATTAAATACATTACTAAAAGAAAAGAAATATATTGACATAGGTTGAAGTTAATAATTTATATATATTTGAAATACTGTGCAGTTTAGTGACAGCTGTAATAAAATTAACACCTATAAAACGTAAATAACATTAAAAATATCTCCTAAAAGTAATTAATGAATTGAGAAAAGAAAGACAATATTTGCTAATTGTATAATTAATTTACCATTATTGATTGTGCGTAAAATACCCGTTACTATTCTTATAATTATACAAACAGTCGTAATCAATTACAATTTATTAATATAGTGTAAAAGTTTTTTTTAATAGTGAACTAACTGTACAACATTAGAACAAAATTTCTTAAGGTACTAATATGTTACTTTACTAATTAATTTTCAATGTCTGCAACTCTTTTTGAATCGCCCCAGTCAATGAGACCAAAAACAAAATACCATGAGACTTACGTTAATCTTTTATTCACTCTAAAGGAAAATCCCTCAAATAATTTACAGTTAAGTTATTAACAGAAATGTTAAGAAATAAATGGACATTTAAGTTCCCCTTCTTTCCTTGTCTGCCTGGCCAAGCTACTGTGGTTTATTCACATGTTCTATACAACTTTAAAGAGAGCTTTATAAGTCTAACTATTTACCGTGGGTTTTATACTATTAGTCCAGTCAATAAAGGGATTGTAGAGGACATGGAGAGGGGGAAAATTTTTTTCTGCGGGAATGTGTTCGGGGTAGTTAGAGGATAAAAATACCAAAAGTCCCCGCCCCTGGCCCTGCTGCTTCAGCGGGGGGAGGGGGGGAAAGACCCCATTTTTTAGTTTTTCACTTCTACAGTGAAAACCGTGCATCGTACGGAAAAAATGTAAATTATAAAAAGAAAGATGATGAAATTCTCTACAAGAATGGTCATATTCATTTCTTCCGTATATGCATTGGTTTAAAAGATATTCTCAAAATAATATAAAAATTCTTAAATAAATTTATTTTCCCGCGTTTTTTGTCAAATAAGTTTATATAATCCATTAGCCTGTTGTTGTTTCACATTAATCAGGATAAAAAACCGGGTTTTAAACACTAACCTATAAAATATAATATATAAATCGTATTGTGTTAAAAATAGTTTATATAAAATTTAAATAAGTTATGTATATTTGTCATGGAAACAAGTAATTTTGGCATAATTATTACACTAAAAATTAAAAAGATTATGTTTGTAGCTACATTTGTCATGGTTTATTTGTATCAATTACCGAAACCAAGACTATTAAGAACCATTGTTAAATGGTCTCTCCATAATCCAATTCTCTTGTTCATTAGACTCAATATTTGCTATCGATGTGAGAGTGCAGTGTATATATTCTTCATCATCCTCATTTATCAGAATTGGCATTCTACTTAAACGGGCCCCTTAGCAATTCTGGCATAACGGCCAACGAGGAACATTTAATGGACATTTCATTGCATGTACATCTTTCATCGCTACAATCTTTAGTATATTTGCAAAAAACAAGCCTAACATTTCTCGTGGGTTAGTTGGTTCATTGGTTAAAACTGGGAATAGATTACCTTTTTTGCGCTCCCAATCCCACATTTCTGAGGGTAGTTGGTTTTCCAAACAGAGTTGTCCTTGATTAAATGATACAAATGATGAAATGTCATATATTTCTTAACTGACAGCAATGTTTGAAAATTGCCCACTCTTTCCTGAAACTCAAAAGACATCATTTTTTAATAGCATCTGGGGTTGTAGGAGATGAATCCGTTAACTGTTACGATGCTGTATTACGTAGTCTGCGAGTAATTAATCAAATTGTAATCATTTGCAGACAACAAGCTGTTACGGGAAAATATGGCTCTCCCTTTGTCCTCTGTGAGTTCAACCATCGATATCAATGATTAAAACGTTGCAGCAAAACCTTTAATTCTGTTTGGATTTGTATAAGTTAAAAAAGTTATCAAGATTTAAAGGTTTGTTAACGATTTGAACTTGCTCCATTTCCCTTTATTTAATGAGAGTGGTGTGAGTTAAGACCAAAAATGCCTGCACTGTTCAAGTTCTTAGGAACCAACCAACAACAGTTTTAACGACTTTTAATTTGGTTATCGATGGGGGATTTCTCACGTAAGGTTATATGGCAAAGGGGATCTTCAGTGTCTGCGATATGTGATGGATACGTGAGGTACGTGGATACCTATTACCTTGTAAGGTAATGCATTGTTGTTTTTGAAGATTATAACAGTGCCAGATGTGCAATTTGTGCATGCAAGAAAATTTCCAATAATTGTTCTCCGTTATGCATGCCGGAACTGCTAAAGGAACTTTTTACATGAAATGCCCATTCTGATGAATGAGGAAGATGAAGAGTATACAGGCCTACACCGAATTCTCACTTCGATAGCCAATATTGAGTGTAATCAACAAGAATTGAATGATGGAGATGTCCTAGATGGTGGTTTTCAGTTCCAAATGGCACCAGTTTTTGGGACAGAAGTCGGACCCTCTCGTCTCAAGTGAGCCAGACCATGAACCAGACCAGACCATATTAAGTCTTGGTTTCAGTAATAAATATAAATAAACCTGGACAAATATAGCTACAAACATAATATTTTAAATTTTTAGTGTAATAATTATGCCAAAATTACTTGTTTCCATGACAAATATACATAACGTATTTAAATTTATATAAACTATTTTTAACACAATATATACGATTGATATATTATATTATATAGGTTAGTGTATGTGAAGATTAATGTGAAACAACGACAGGCTAATGGATTATATAAACTTATTTGACAAAAACGCGGGAAAATAAATTTATTTAAGAATTTTTATATTATTTTGAGAATATCTTTTAAACCAATGCATATACGGAAGAAATGAATATGACCATTCTTGTAGAGAATTTCATCATCTTTCTTTTTATAATTTACATTTTTTCCGTACGATGCACGGTTTTCACTGTAGAAGTGAAAAACTAAAAAATGGGGACTTCCCCCCCCTCCCCCCGCTGAAGCAGCAGGGCCAGGGGCGGGGACTTTTGGTATTTTTATCCTCTAACTACCCCGAACACATTCCCGCAGAAAAAAATTTTCCCCCTCTCCATGTCCTCTACACCCCCCTTTTGAGCATTCATTGACTGGACTATATGTCATAAGGTAAGTTATAGACTTTTGCCAGTCCATATTCTAAAAAGGAGATTGTGAGTTGACAATAACAAAAGCTATGTTACTTATTATTGTAGGGAAGGGCGGAAAACTCAATAATCGACGGCCGAGTTGAGATTCTAACACTTGATTTATTATGTTAAAAGAACATAACTATTTACAATGAGTTGCAAAGCGGACATGCCCACCCCCATGGACATCCGCGGGGGAGGGCATGATAGCGCGTAACCGCGCTCAAAGACTCTTCTAACCCGACTGACCGTGACCAACCCTAGGCTCGACAGTCCTACACGTCACATAGAATTATGACACGTCTTGTCAGCAGAACAATTAATTAGGCTACATTCTATGCCTCGACCAAAACAATCGAACGTCATGTAGCAATCGATATGCCCAATACTTTGTGACACTGACCAAAACCCAAGTAAACTGTAAGATTATGCTGGATAGTGGAGTTGTGACACGCTTCCACAGGCATATTGCCAATATTACCGGCAATAGCCAAAACTGGGTTTTGGACTGGTATCCATGATATTCCAAAAAGTATGGTTAATAACTGTCTGACGGTCACATTATAACCATTTTATCAATCTTGGAGGTAAAAATAAGCAAGTTGTTTTTCTAGCTATTTTTCCACTGACTAAAATTACAGAAAACATTTGTTTGTGTTGTAACCAATGTTAGCCCATAAAATTCACAGTCAATGTCTGTACGAGTAGTACTACTCACCATAAGCATCAGCTAGTGCGAACGTCTGTAAAAGAATATAATAACCATTATAGTTACATATTTAAATTGTTATAGTTTTTTGTTATTTAATTGCATAAAGAATTTAACCTTTAAAACATGTAACAATATGAAAATTTTTTAGTTTGGAAATTAATGCTGATATGGAATCTTTTTACATTATTAGGTGGTTTATAATCTTAAATACATTTAATAAATATTCAACTACTTTAAAATCAGCATACAATCAAAATTACTTTGTTAAAAAGTCATATACTGTAATCATGTAATCAATTGAAAAAATTAAATCGTCAAAATAACAACTCTAAACTGAAAACCTATTATTCTGATAACAATTTTAGTTTTGTTTGATCAAATGGGGTTTAATTCATACCAACTTAATCATATATTTTTTTTATTTCCCTGTAAAAACTATTTGTTAACAATAAAATTATTACTTTCCCATAAATAAATAATTTGAACTGTTTCGTATATGGTAAGAAAAATTTTGACCTTTTCCAAAATCCATCTCATTCTATCTCCTATGGTTTAAGAAGACATCCCAAAACACAAAATTGCTTTTTAGAAAATTTTATTTATTTTGCAATGGCATTCTTCTGTTTAATGCACAGCCCTCTACTCAGAAGATGGAAACCAATGTGGACAAATTAGGTAATGAAGTTGACCACTCTTTGTTACAGTGTCGAAGTAGTGATTTACATTATAATAATAAATATTTTTTTTAGATTTTTTCGATAAGAAGATGTTGTTTTGTTCAGTGTTAAGTGACATTTTTGATGACGCTATTATGCAGTTGTTAACTGTCAAAAATAAAGAGATTTGTGTTTGAGTTAAAAAAAATTCAGAGAGCTACATATTGTGCATTATTGATTAGTTAAAAATAAATATGTGATATGAACTTACGGAAAGAACAAGTAGTATAAGCATTTTCAAGCAAATTTCAACCCAAATTTGCGACTTCTACTACTAGGTACTAGGTAGAGAGATAGTAAAACTACTAAACAATTAAGGTAGGCCTGCTTCTAAAAGGCACACTATGTGATAATAACACATGTTACTCAATACCTGTAATTGCCATACTTTTATCTTGCGTAACCTTTTGCCATATGTTTCTCTGCGTCATGCTGAAGCAACAACAGTAGTTTTTTAGCGAATTTCCTTATTGGGAAGTAGCTATTGCCATAGATTATAGCCAAAGTGGGCGCAGGTAAGACCTGGGCCTAGGACCGATTTACTTTTTCATTTTAATGTCCCAAGAGACTAAAATACTATTCGTTCAAATTGTTATATATGTGTATATACATGATATAAAATTAGTAATTCAAGCACAACTGAGCACCCTGAAATAATTATTATACAGGGTGTCTCACTTATAGTGAACCAATAGCCAACTCTTTTATTGGATATGGAGTTACCTTCTTATGGGGCACACCCCTTCTTTGTTTAAGATGTGTCTTGGAATGGTATTGAATTTGTAAAGTATGTCCACCATTGTCCAATATGGCCGACAATTTTCTTATTTCTTTTGGAACACTCTGTATTTTATGATCGTTCTGGAATGTAAATGCAATTTAAAAACGTTTTATCCTGACATTTATTCTCTAAAGTCACTAGTTTATGAGTTACAGCGTGGTAAACCTAAGAAAAAAGGCTTGTGGTGTACATTTTGCATCATGTAGCTCCTAAATGAGTAAGTTTACAGAGGAAATGCCGAAAATAAAGAAGTCTTAAAATTGCATCTACATTTAAAGTAAGTCATAAAATATGTTAAGAATATCGATTCTGTTGTTTCAAAAATGGCCACCATTTTCAAAAATGACAGCTAACTGTAATATTGGACCACTCGGTATGTTAGGGTCTTTTTACAATGTAGATGCGATTTTAAGACTTATTTATTCCTTGCATTTTCTCTGTAAAATTACTCGTTTATTAGTTTTAAATCGCATATCTACATTCAAAAACAATCATTAACAGTGTGTTCTAAAAGAAATAACAAAGTTGTCGGCCATATTGTTAATTGGTGGTTGTTAAATATGGTATTAAGAGGTAAAATTGTGAGAAATACCTTTAGATCCTAAAACTGAAGATCCATTAGGGTTTTGGTAGAACAGGAACAAGATGAGCAGAGAAGCGATGGCTCTGGCCAGAGTGACGAGAATCGAAGGACCACAGATGAAAGATGATGTTGAGAAATGACTATTGTTGTGTAGTATGTAATTCTTCACTGATTTAAATTAAAACTCTTCTTCATTAATAAAAAGAAAGCAATTCACTACTCATGAATATTCTGGACTGTACACGAAAATTTACAACACATCTACTTTAAATAAAAATATCTTCTTGGATCCTAGCTTGACACTTGGTACTATAAATTTTGGAATCCATATTTAACATGAGAAATTATGAAATAATGCACTTGGAGCGGTAAGAGAGAAAGAGAGATTAAAATATTTAATATGAACTAAACCAAAAGGTAAGCACTGTGTACTGTGAGAGAGGTGAGTCTAAACTGCACTGACTAGTACGAAGTGCTGTAGTGAACTTTGGACAGTGATGTCATCATATCAGCTGTTGTATCCTTTCAATAACTGAACTAAAAACTTGACTTGAATGTTAATACTACTTGATTAATTGTTTATATTTGACTGTATATAGTTCATATGTTATTAAATAAATATTTTATTAAATGTCCTTAGTTGAATTACTAAATATTTAACATACCGGCCCCCCCTGAACCCCTGGGTTCTGAAAACAACACAAAAAATGAGAAAATCAATAAAAAAGGGGGGTGGTAACTCCTCTTCACTATTCCATAGGAAGGACAGACACCTTTGTCACAGGACGAGAGAGGTGTCCACTTGCGGTCTTCAGGTGCACGACCCGTACTATTCCATCAGTACCAGGTGAAACGGAGAGAACTCGTCCAAGCTTCCAGGAGAGTGGAGGCAAGTTGTCTTCATGAATGACAACCAAGTCATTGACTTCAATATTCTTCTTGGGGTTGACCCATTTATTTCTCTCTTGAAGAGTGTACAGATACTCTTTCTGCCAGCGAGCCCAGATATGTTGACTGAACTGTTGGACTAACTGCCAGCGTTTTAATCGGTTGATAGGAATGCTACGCAAGTCAGGTTCAAGAGGTGTCATAAGAGGACCACCTACTAAAAAATGACCTGGCGTCAAAGCTTCTAGGTCCGAGGGATCAGAAGAAAGAGGAGTTATAGGCCTAGAGTTCATCATTCCTTCAATACGGGTGATTAAAGTCGAAAACTCTTCCAGTGACAGGGTCTGTTGTCCAATGACTCTTATTAGGTGAAATTTCACACTTTTGACGGCCCTCTCCCAAAGGCCTCCCTGATGAGGTGCATGTGGAGGTAAGAAGTGAAATTTAATATTGAAATTCTCAGCGTAGCATTGTACTGTGGAATCCTTGATTAAATTTTCAAAGTTGCGTCTGAGTTTTTCGGATGCACCTGTGAAATTTGTAGCATTGTCACAGTGAATATCTGAAACGATTCCTCGTCTGGAGACAAATCTGGTAAGAGCGGCTAAATAGGCATCCGCTGTTAGGTCGGTTACTACTTCTATGTGTACCGCCTTAGTAGAGAAGCAAATAAATATACAAATATAAACCTTGATAGGTTGAACTCGTCTTAGTAGATGTTGCTTCACAAAGAAGTGTCCTGCATAATCTACACCAGATATGGAAAATGGCCTTGAAGGTGTAACTCGATTCATAGGTAATTCCCCCATGAGTGGAGAAGAATGAGGAGGTTTACATCTGAAACATTTTATGCATTTAAAGATCCTAGATCTTATTAAGCTTCTAGCACTGAGAATCCAGTACTTGTTTGCCAGCATAGCCTGAGTTAGAGTTGGACCAGAGTGCAAATATAAGACATGATGGTGGTCAATCAAAATATCAACTAACCTATGACCTTTAGGTAGCAAGACGGGGTGTTTGTGATCTTCAGAGATATCAGCCTTGTTTATTCTTCCCCCTACTCGAATGAGGCCATCTTTATCCAGATAAGGAGCTAGGCGTCTAATGCGTACAGAGCAAGGTTTATTGGATTTCAAACATGAGATTTCTTCAGAAAAATATTCTCGTTGAACCAATTTACAAATCAGGTTATGAGCCTCTTTTATCTCCTGAGAAGTTAAATTCCCAATTTGTTTAACTTTATTTCTGGTGTTATGAATGAAGCGCAGCAGGTATGCGGAAACATGAAGTAGTGTTGTCCAAGATGAGAAGCGAGTGAGGAGAGAAAATGGTTCATCCGGAACAGCAGAGAGAGTGTTAACTGTGAGAATCTTAGTTTCAGGGATAGACTCTTCAGGTAAAGATTTACAGACAGACTTTGGCCAATTTTCTTCAGAGTTACACAACCAGACAGGTCCATTCCACCAAAGTGTGTGGTTAATCAAATCTTGTGGGGCGGTACCCCTTGACCCAACATCCGCTGGATTTTCTAGTGATGAAATATGTTGCCAAAATGAAGGTGGGATATTTTCCTGTATTTCTGCAACTCGATTTGACACATAAACCTTGAGTCGATAAGAGGGCATGCCAATCCATGAAAGCACGATTGTGGAATCGCACCAAGCTGTGTATGAACTAATCTTGCAGTGAGGTGAGAGAAGTTGTATACAGTAATTTAGGAGCTTAGACATCAGGTGTGCTCCGCAGAGCTCCAAGCGAGGTATGGAAATACGCTTCAGAGGTGCGACTCTTGACTTCGCTATCAGAAGATAAGTCGATATAATTCCTTGTGAATTTACAACTCTCAGGTAAACACAACTACAATATCCTGCTTCACTTGCATCAGAAAAAGCATGTAGCTGAATATCTTTAGCTGAAGAAAGTCCCACGTAGCGAGGTATCTTGAGCATTTCAATATATGGAAGTTCATTGGCGAACTTGTTCCAAACTGATATAACGCTGTCGTCTAGGGGTTCATCCCAATCGAGACCAAGTGTCCATAAGTATTGCATGAAGGATTTGGACCAGAAGGTTACAGGAGTTAACCATCCTGATGGGTCATAGATCTGTGATATCACACTTAAAACAATTCTTTTTGTAGGAGTTTCCTTAATATTTTGAGTTCCTACAGAATAAGAAAAAACATCTTCATTAGGAATCCATTTGAGTCCTAAAACACTATGAACTGGTTGTTCGGGAGCTCGAAAACCAATAGGTTTTTCTTTGTGATCTTCAGGGATCGACTGTAAGAGTAATGGATTATTCGAAGACCATTTTCTTAACTCGAAACCTCCTTTTTTGAGTAACTGAACCACATCATTTTTCAACAAAAGAGCGTTTTCTACGCAATTACTACCCAATAGGGCGTCATCGACATAAATCTGATCCTTTAGAGCAGTTGCGGCTAGAGGATGATTTTTTCCTTCATCAATAATGAGTTGTTGAATGACACGATTTGCCAAGTAGGGCGATGATGTGAGCCCATAAGTGACAGTCGCTAGCTGATAGATTTGAAGAGGCATTTTATCATTCTCTCTCCAGAAAATAAGTTGAAATATCTGATCAGATTCCTTTACAAGGACTTGTCGAAACATCTGCTTGATGTCGCATGAAAAAACAACCGCATGTCGGCGAAAGTTGAGAATGATGTCACATATGTTGTTGTGGAGTTTTGGTCCTTGATGAAGAATACTGTTGAGAGACAGAGATGTTGATGTAGGTGCTGATGCGTTGAATACTACCCTTAATTTTCCATCTTTAAAAATTCCATGATGTGGAAGGTAGTAATGAGGATTATTTTTAAGACGTGGTGACTGACAGAGTGTCATATGTCCCGAAGACAAGTAATCTCTCATAAAATCAACATAAGTTTCCTTGAAATCAGGATTAGAACGAAATTTATTCTCCAGAGACCAGAATAGGGATTTTGCCATTTTGCTCGAGTTGCCTAATGTTGACGGATCGTCTGAGAAAGGCAAAGAGACAATAAATCTTCCTTCAGGAGTGCGAGAGTGCGTAGATACAAAATGTTTTTCACATTTTTCTTCGGCTAAGGATTGCTTGCT